AGCACATTTTGTTATTTCCTAAATTGCTGCAACAAGTTTTGCCTGGATTTTTTTATCAATCTCCTCAACCCCTAGAATGAATGGTACAGACAAAACACAATATGAGCAAACAAGGATGCTTCTTATCTCACAGAGACATTATTTTTTTCTGTCATGTTTTCTTTTTCAGCAGCTACATAATGGAACTTTTATCACGAGATATTGCGATATTCCTATATTTACTAAACAACAGAGTTCCTTCAAGGCAAGTACTGTTATGTTTTCAATTAAAGTATGATGTCATACATCTGTTTCCATTTCTATCTTGTTGACAAACAGTGGACGTGAAGAATAGATATTGTATTTTCATCCATTTTGTATTCAATGGTCAGATATTTGAGAACTATTCATAGGTTGGCAGGGCCACTGTATCACAGTACTTATACAGCTTCTCACACATAACATGAATTTGCACAACCACATCTAGCTCTCAAAAGCATATCCATCTTTTCAATGTCATTCGATTTCAAGTAGTCATTGATTTCAGTCATTCTATGTCATTTAAGTAATACCTTTGACCTGATGTTCTGCTCCACTTCTGAGTACTGTGATCCGTTTGATCTCTGTGCAAGTGCCCTCCCAAACAAAGGCAAGTTGGAGATGTAATACTGGTCTTCATTACCGGGAAATCTATTGCTCTGACAGAGAAGTATTTTGGTCCCATTCCCGAGTCCATCATATACTTTTTATATTTAATGTTAGCATCTCTAATAAAAAGCATTGTCCTTATATGAATCATTTTCATGGTACTGAAGAAATGCAGGCTCTCTTTTATTTTTGTTTGGCTATAGATTGGTTTAAAATAAACTTGGTTTGTTTTGCTGAGCGTCATTTATAAAAGCCTGGAAGGAGATAGTGAAGATGCCTGGATGTGATGTGCTCTGAGCCCTCCATCTGCTGATCTGCCCCTGTATAAGCTGCACTACAATATACAGGATGTATGGTGGACTCTTGGTAGCCTCCGGCATAGCTTTTACCACAGTACACTGAGGTTGTAACTTTGCTAATGACAAAAATGAAATTATTTAATCTCCAAAGTAGAAGCTAAGTTCTTTTGATTTTTTTGAATGTAGGACTGTCAGGAGTCCCAGGGACCAGTTGTATAAAAGCAAATCACCCAACACTGTGTGAGATAATCTAGAAAATTTTTCCAGAGCTGCTTCTGTACCATCTACATAGGTTGCTCTCAGCCTCCCACTGCAGGCAGGTCAAAGCCATATATGGCTGATTTTCTTAAAACTTGGCATCTCCTTATTTCTTCCTCTTGTTGAAAAGAGCTTCTGCCTGTGGGTTGCTTTTTGCTATGCTACAAAAGCACATGTATTTTCTGCTAATGAAGTATAGTGATAGCCTTGCTGATCCTTGCACTGATCCTTGATTTTCTTCCTTGTTCTTCATCTGAGGCTGATTTTCAAACCTTTGTGAGAAATGTTAACGAGAAATAATTTTTGCATGGATCATCCTCCCTCCCACTCACAGCAATTGTGATTTTCTCCTGTCACTTGAGGCAACAATATTTCTAAAGGTACATTTCTTATGTGGAAAATTAATGCTTGGAAAAAGGTTTCCTGTCCTATTACTATTTCACAGTTTATCAGGTAGGATCAAGCTAAAATGGCTAATCCTATATCCAGTTTGCAGGCTGTAAACCACATATAATAATCCTATTTTGAAGTCCTGCAGCAGGCATAGGAGGGATTGGATGACTTAGAGGAGTGAAAAAGGCTGGATGAGTATCTGGAAACATTTTCATGGTCAGTCTGCAAAAGATTAAACAGTTTTCCCCAGGGGGAAAAAAAGAGGAATTTTGAGTAACTTGAAACATTGAAAACAAGGTTGGATGCGATAGTTGGTAGAGGAAAACTGTTGTACTAAATAGATAATAAGGAAAAGGGCTTGAGAGTCCTCTCTGATGTTTCATCTCTATGGAAGGGTAATTAGGTATGTGCACAATTACAAAGCAAATGGCATGCATGATGATGTTTTCCTCAGTCACATTTGTTTTTCTCTTCTTCTAATTTGGCTTTAATTAACACTAACACAAGTAAGTTTTTTTTTCTAAATATAAGCAGAGATATGTACTGTGTTAAGGTTTTAAATCACGTTTGTGATGCACTTGGGTAATTTCTATAAGTATCAGGGAGAATACCACTTTTTGTTTTATGTGTATGCAGCTGGAGCAAATGGTACCCAAATATAACACTGATAGTCATGCTTTGTTGCATGTGTGAAATTTAGCAAAGGGAATTAACAACTGAAATGAGCACTCCCACATGAAGGATAGTATTAAACAAATCTAGCTTTAAGTCCTGACCTTCCTACCCATAATTCCTCCCAGGAGACTTTGAAGTCTTATACTAAAAGGCCTATGAAGCTTGGAAACTGAAAGCAGCATTTCATAGGTATTAGCATGATAATTAGGAGTCTGTTTTACATATCATTTTAATTTGAAAGTAAGTAATCAGAATTTAGATGACACTTTGCTTAATTATATTGAGTGTTTGACATGAAAGTAAATTAATAACAAATTGATTTCCACCATCTGCTACTATTAATGCTGGGAAAACCAGAAGAACTTCAAATGCTATATCTTTATCCATTTTTAATATTATTATCCAAAATAGATGTTGCATTTTTGTAAGAAACAGCACAGTGCACTTGATGGAAGAATAAAGAAGGCAAAATAGTTCTCTAGAGACATGAGAGAAAACTTTGGTTCTCTGGCAGCAGAAGACAGTTAGTGTGGGATGTGATTGGGATTGAGCCTGTAGCACCACCACTGCCCACTGCACAAGGCAAATGCAGATTCTGAAATGTTACACGTTCCAAACTGTGTCCTGGAGTATTTTAAGTGTAATTATATGAGAAAGGGAAAGAGTCCCACTACAAATACTCAACCCTCCACAGCATGGAGAGAATAGGAAAGAGAGCACACATGTTTGGATTTGTCATTATTCCTTATAGTTAACCAAGTTTCTATACACTCAGCCTGAGATAACTGTCAAGTGTTAGCATCCCTCAGTTTTACAGTCGGGCTATTAGAGAAACTCTTTGGAAATGTTCTGCCTTTGGCATTGTTATGGGGATTTTTTTAATCTCACAAACAAATTATTTCACAATTTAAATATAGGAACCATTATCACTCTAATATTTTTCTTATGACGAATATGTAATTGCAAATTGCTTTCTCTCCTGAAGAGCTTTCCTCTCCTGAACAGCTTTCTATATAAAGTATACAATCCATATCCAACAAAAAGGAATACAGTGAGAATGAGTTAGGCAGTAAAGGAGTGAAGGTATTTTTAAATGTGAATGTTTACCAGCTTTCACAACGTGATTTGAAAAAAATCTGGACAAAGTCTGTAATATTCCAAAGGCAAACACCATTCCCTATCAAAAGCTGTTGTTGCTATGGGTTATCTCCCACAGTGGGTATACTTAATTTAAAACCTAGAATTATATTGCATCCAGCAAACACATGCTATTACTGTGATCTGATAAAAGCTGGGACAGGCTGTGCTCAATTTCTTGAGGAGTGACAATTTTAAAATATTCATGTCTGTAACACAGAGATCCATGATAGAGGTGGGTCAGGTATGGTACTAGTTCACAGTAGCCTAGGGGTATATCTCTTGAGACTAAGGTACTTTGAGAAGACTTTTTCAAATGCTGTGAGCACTCTAGCAACAGAGCTGTCTTTCCTGATTTTACTAAACAGCATGCAGAACTACTGTGCTTGCACTGTCTTCTTTGCACTGTCTTCTTTACACTGTCTTTGGTTAATGCTTTTCAGACCATTTTAGAGAGCTAGAAGAAATTATTTTAGAGAACTTGGAAAAGAATCTATCCTGAGAAAATAAAAAAGCCCAAATGAAAAAACACCAGCAACTACACCAAAAAGAGCCAGGTTGCACAAAGGCAGAGCTGAGTGTCCTGCAGCCAGCAGTCAGCAAGGCTCTTAGTATCAACAACTTTTAGTGCTTTACAGGACGCTCGTAGAGCAGATTTGGATAATTTTTTGTTGCTCTTGCATGGTGCTAGCTGAGCCTTCTCTCCAAAATTCCCATCCTTGTTGTAAGTGTAAACAGTGTTAGCAATCCACAGAAATTATAGATGTTAAGGGCTGTGATTCCCTAGGATCTCATATGAGCATTTGTTTCTGTCCATAAGAGATTAAAAAAAGAAGAAAAGAAATAAAAATGCTTTTTGCCAAGGAATACAGTGTTACCAGTTCCAGAAAGTGGAAGCAAGGCAATTTTCCCAACATCCTCTGAGACTCCTGAAGCATTATAAAGACATCAGCTTTATGAAGACATCAATAAGAATTGAGAATATCCTTGCAAGGAGCACCCCTCAGGGACCAGCCAAATGCTGTTTGTTGTACCCTATTTTTTCTCCTCACATCAAGAGTGGGGCTCAAGTATCCCTGTTCACCTGAAGGTTTCCTGCCAGTGACACTCACCTGTGAACATCAGCCACCTCAGGCATGCTGGCTGTTCTGGCCATACTGTGAACAGGCTGGTCTTAACAGGGAAGAGTAGAGACAGGATTTCCTTTAAACTTCTATATTTGGAGTTTTTTGCTCACTGTGACAGTCTTTAAACATTTAGACAAGGAATATTTTTGCAAGCTTCTGTACACCCTTCTAAGTGAGTATATTTCCCAAAACATATTGCATCTTGCTAATTATGAAATTTGATCTAGCGTATGAGTATAGACATTTAATATACACACCATCCTCAGAAGGGGATGCCTAATGCCTTTGATTTAAGCGATTTAAGCTACCTGGATTGTAGGTTTTTGTAGGCTTGTGAAAACAAAAACGTCAACATTACAAATGATTCAACATCAGCTAACACCTTGCCAAAAAAATTAATTAAGTCACATAAGTCCAGTGACAAAATTCAGATGATTCCTTTATAGGCAATATCCTTAACATCCATTTTCATTTTCAGACAGTGTTCAGAGAGCTCCTGAGAACAGCTGTGAAATTCAGACCAGTTTACCAATTACTTTCACAAAAGAGTTGTTTTAAATCCATTTTCCCTTGAAGGTCTCAGATCAGGTGAGAGAAAAGTTTGAATGGGGCAACTGGAAATAATGTCTTTGTCTCTTTTTCTCTCCCTTTTTTAACATTTAAATAAATGGATAGTGGTTCTGCTTAAATAGAAAAAATCAAATACTACTCATGAGCTAAATTTTCCTCTCATGAACATCCCACTTCAAATTTTCCAACAAGCCAAAAAACCTAGGGTTTTAATCTATAATTAATTTTTTTCTCAGCCTTACTTTGTAGTCCCTCCCAGATTTCCTTGTTGCTCGCTGACAGAACATCATATTAGGTGAGACGTTGCTGTAGTTCTCATATACACTGTCACATAGAATGACAGGAAGGAGATCAAAGTGCAGAACACTTGGTCAAAAAGCCAAGCATAAAGGTCTGGCCTTCTGAAACAGTCCTCAGGCTTACACTTCCCATGAAACATTAGAAGGAAGAACCTCAAACCCTTGGTTTTAATTTATGACCCTGTGTGTAACAACATTTAGACACTTTTTTATCAGCCCTTCAACGGATCATCCCGAGTTTCCCATCCTAGTGGTGACTTGACTTGTGAAACTCTAAAAGCACAAAAGCCAGATATGGATGTGTAATAATTACAGTTTTACCTGGACAAGTATGTAAGGAAAAATTAATCATATTATCATATCCAGAAAATAAAAACAAACTCCTGCTTTTAACAGAAAAAATAGATTTCTATGCTAGATTCCCGTGAGAAGACTGAGGTTTCCACCACAAAGTGGGAGCAGCAGCTCCTGTGCTTATATAGTAAAATTGCAGTTGGTGTGACATCCCTGGCTGGGCTATGGGCTTTCCCTCTGCCAGAAACATTGCATGTGATAAAAAATTAAGATATGAAATTTAGAGGCTTAGATTTTTTACAAAACCTATTTGGTGTGAAATTCTAGGGGGACAGTATTTGCAAATGATGCTAGAAGTAAGCAGAAATTATTAGCACATCTACTTTGCATCTTTGAAAAGAAACTAGCTTATCTTTTTTCTTCATTAAATACCTAGTAAAAAAAAAAAGGCATAAAAGCATAAGAAAAACTCAAGATGTTTCCAGCCTCTTTTACAAAGTGATTTTAACCACAATAACCTCTGAATTTTTATGACTGGCTGCTTTGACCTCTGTAATCAACAAAGAAACAGTAAAGCAAAAAGAGTTTCTTACTCTCCTGAGTCTGTCTGTACTGAGAATTTAGATTAGCATTCTTACTGGAGCATAAGGTAGACTTGCCTTCTCTTTAACAAAAGAAATAAGGAAAAGATGTACCTGAATTTGGGGTAAGCCTGCAAAATCTTGTTGAGTCAATAGTCATATTAAGAAGCACAGATTCATTTCCTTGGTCGTGATCCTATGAATAAAAGATCAGTCTGTTAGACCTGTATTATACCTATACTTTAAGTATAATACAGGTATGTAGGTATTTATAAAGATTATACACAAGATGGCCATCAAGGGCAAACTTGGCATTTTACTTACTTATTCTCACGTCTAATTATAATGCTGTGACATTCAAATGCAAGTCCTTGAGGGAATATAGCCTCCAAAACACTAAATGTGTTGCTGAAGTGATTTTTAATTACTTAATAGAAATTGCAATGGTCCAGACTCCCAAGACAGATTTTTCTCGTGGTCATATTTGTATGAATCCCAAACTGGAAGCAGAGCTGTTTCTATTAAACTGGTAGTCCTGTGAACAGCAGACCTTAGGAGTCCTGCTTGCTTTCAGAGGGATCTCCCTGCTGAGGTGCAATCAATGCAGACACACTGATGGAAAACTGGGCTCCCTGGCACCTGATAAGATATGAACTCAAGATGTAGCTTTCCTGAAGTTATATCTCTCTCCTTTCTCACCTGCTTTCTTCTAATGCCCAGGAAACTTGCATCTTTGAAACATATGTCTTTTTGTTTTCAAATTTGCTTGAAATATTCTGATGGAGTCCATGGCTGTGACTTGTATTCATAGATTGTTAGAGGGAAACTGAAACACGTACACAAAAAGCAGCATCATGTACTCTGCGTACATTAACTGGAGGCAGTATAGTGTGACACGGACTTTTCTGTCCACACGTCAGCATAAGAGTTAGCTCTTAGGGGCAGGATGTCAATGTATTTGAATGTTCACTGTCTTCAGAGTAGATGTGGTGTTTTGCCCAAGTCAGAGACTTCAATCCTTGTGTTTACAAAGTGCAAACTCATTTAACTCAGTTGATCTGAGAAACAGTCCTGATTAAAAAGACTTTATTAGGGATAGCTGTTCATTATGCATACCCACAGCTTCCCAGAGAAACTCATTCTCGGCATCCTGCTGTGACAGAGATTAGTCATTATGCAGTAAAACTGCACTGCTGGGACCACATTTGCATTATTAAATGAATTAGAGTATTACTTACAAAAAAAGCAGTCCCAGAGCTGTGATCACCAACCCCAAACCTAGGCAAATGTGACCAGCAAATATTACAGGACACTTCTCAGCATTTGGGAAGAGGACTGCATCTGCAGTCATCTGTCACAGTTAATCAGACTTGCACTGGTGTCTACAAAATGCAACAAAAGAGAGGCCTCATAGAAACTTCACATAAATAGCCAAGTACCTGCTATCAAAAGCAAAGCAGCACAAGATACTGCTTATAAAACACTAGAGTAGTGAGATTTTAGTTTTTTCCCCACTGCACTAAGCCTGCAGCACCACTGAAACACACCTACGTCTGACCTTTAGCACAGAACTTTCTTCGAGGCCTGACCCACTGTTGCCCTTACCACCTCGTCATACAACTGCGTACTGTTCAGCCAGCCAGGAGCAACTACCAGCTGAGGTGCAGAAAGGAAAAGCTTTTAAGTGACCATTATACAGGTATCTCCTCTCTGTGAAGTTCCCTCCTCATCTTAGAGCAAGTTTAAGTAGGTATGTGGAAAGCATCTTTTTTAGTTTGAACTGAAGGGAACTAGAAGGACTCACACAGTAAACCTGTGTTTTGGGAGGAGAACACAAAAATGAGCTGAGGCATTTCACCTTCTTGAATGGCTTCTTGACCATCCTAGGACACTTAAGCTTTTCCAGTCTCTTTCAAGACAATTTTAAACTCAACTCTAATAAGGTGATGTGTTTTACTTTGAACCTTTGTGAATTAGGAACCATCACGTTTGGTGCAATTAAAAAATAAAACCTTATTTCTATGAAGCTACAGACTGCCAACTTTTAGCCTCTGTTTCTCCCTGATTTATTCAAGCCACACAGCATGTAGAACATGGGTCATGACCACCTTTAGAAATGTGGGCTGCTCTTGCCTCTGCTCTGAATCACATCCTCAAGCAGTTTTCAAGAGCTAAGCTAGAGCACACTGTGGCTGGATAGTAAATGAGGGCATGTGCTTTTATTTAGGTAAAGGTTTAGCAGTTCAGGCATCATGCGCCATAATTCAGGCAGCCTTGAAAACCATGTGAGGAAAACCAGGAAGGAAAACTGAGCGCAAGCATGTCCTGGCCATCCAAAGTAATGAGAAATGGATGGTGGCCAAATGTAACGAGCTGGTGCATTTTAGAGTACAAATATCAAATTCAGTAACATTCTGGAAAAGATGCCAAAATTGCGCACTCTGGAAGCACACAGTTCCTGTCTGAAATGAAGGCAGCTCTTTACCCCCTGTGGTAGCTATTACTGCAAGCTGTGAGCAAACTGGGGACTTGAACTTGGTTCGTACTTTCAAAATTATCACTGCTATCATAATTCCACAGATCCAAACACAATAAGATATAGATCCTAGCTATTATCAAACTCTTTGGAAAGCAAATAAAAAGGGAAATTACAAGTTTAGAAAAAAAATACATGAGCCTAAACATTTTATTAAACCTATGTCTAAATGCTTGGACTGTGGAGCCTTTAGGCTATTGTGAATCTATTGCAAATCTGTTGTAGGATCCCAGGGGTCCAGTCAGACCAAATAGGATGAACTGACCCATCAGTCCTTCTCCCTCTTCTTCCTCCTAAAAGGAGCAGCCTTCTCTGTCTCTTCCTCCTCCTTTTTTGTCACTGGCATCCTCCTTCTTACTCTTACCCCACTGGTCCCCAGCACCTCCCTCGGCTCCCTTGGTGCTATCGTTCAAGGTGCAGCTCATTTCATGGAAGTGGTAGAAATTAACACAGAAAAAAAAAAGTGAGAGAATTATTTTTTAGAAATAGCAAGCTGAGAAGTCAGCTCAGCCATCTCATTTGATTTTATCTTCAGACCTGCTGAATATAATACAAGCAAACACTGGTTGTTCTTGAAAAAGATAGCTTTTTCAAATATGGCCTTTATTAATCTTGCAAAGTTGTATTAAGGTCCTGGACAACAGAGTCTGACTCAAAATCCCTACAGTTCTCCTGTGCTAATTAGAAGTGGCCTTTCCTTGTACCAGTTCCAAGATGTTGCCTGAACTTTCAAGTGTTTTTGAAGACAGCTGCAATTTCTTACTTGAAATGAAGGCCCAACGGCTTAATATTTAACCTGTAGCTGTTGTCAGCTATTTAACCTTGTCTAGAAGTGAATGGGTAATTCCCCTTTGCTAACAAAAGTGCAAAAAACATCTTAAAATGACCTTGTGCCAAGTTTATGGTGAAAAGCCACATGCCAGGAAAGCCGTACAGCTAGTGTTGACCTTTTGTTCTTGGCCATCTAAAGACATTAAAATCTGACTGAACATAGTTACCCCATCTTAGACTCAAAGTGTAATTTAGTGAACATGTAGGCTTAAATGAGACAAGGGCCAGTGGCAGGGAGGACCAGCCAGGCTGTATGATGATCTCAGAATGATCTGAGTCCTGCTCCTGGCAGCCCTGAAGAAGAGCTGTTCTAATTTTATCTCACTGATTTTTGGCTGGTTTTAACATTTTTGTTATCAGAATAGACTTCTTTATTTGGACAAAGGCTGACTAAGAAGGGGTGCTTTATTCACATTAAGAGACAGTCAGTATTAATGACTCATTAGCATATGATCAGAGAGGGTTTGTAACCCTGCAGGCCTGTGAGCAGGGCTGAGCGAATCAATAGAAGCAGAAAAAACAATGATGAGTTTGCATTTGAAAATTTGTCTTAGGAAAGTAATCCAGATAAGAGGGTCATTAGTTATTAGGAAACTAGACTGGCTAGTGGATATTCCAGTTCAAGGAACGAGTTCATTAAGATTTTTCAAACTGCAGTGTCTTTGCAGTCATATGAAACTGAGACTAAGCTGCTAGCAAAGGGCAAAGGACCTTACTCATGGCCCACGGACCAGTCTGGGGTTCTTGATGGCTTGGAGATGTCAGCCTAGTTACTCACACATCTGAAGGAAACAGAGAATTTGTAAAATGCAGCTCATCAAGCTCTGTTCGCATCCCCAAAGTCTGAAACATGGGGATTCACTCTATCAGGGTGGGAGCTACCTGTTGCAGCCCTGCAAAAGCTGTAAGGGGAAATTTGGTTTTTAGCCCAATGCTCTGCTACAGCCTGTTAGTACTTTTCAGCACAGTCAGGCTCCTCTGGAGAAGAAATCCCACTTCTTATGACCCTTGGTCATGCAGCTCTCCTAGTTTCCACTTGATGCCAACCATGGAAGGCCTTGCTTCTCCAAAGAAAAATCTGTACAGCTCTCTACAGAGAAAATCCCACTGTCTTCTGATTCAGCCATTAAATAGTAGATTTGCTTTAATGTGAAATTGTTCCTGAACGCACATAAACAGACAGGGTTTGAAATTTTGGTGTAGAATTTGTCCTTTGGGCGCAGTTTGTCTCTGCCATAATTATGTTTTGAAATGCTTGATTTCATTGTACTTCTTTCTATAGCTGGACTGAATTAAGACCAAATGAGCTCTTATCCTCTTCTACTATACCCAAGTGGATCTTGCATCCATTGTTACCAGAGTGGTGGCTCTGCATTTTTAAAAAAGAGACGCTACTTTAAATCACCCTGCACATAAGTGATCACCATCACAATCTCTTCAAAAGTTTCCAATAGCCAGAAGCAGGATCACACTGCAAGTTCAATGTCTTCCTTGTCACTCATCCCGGGGAAGGATTACTACAGAAAACAATATCCCACTCAGCACTGTGGGCTGGAAGTCTTGACTCTTTTGCCATGGGCAGCACAAGCTCTCCTGAGCAATAGACCCACCACTGAATTCAGCATTGCCTGTGCAGACAGCCTGGCTGCCTCCCACCACTGCAAGAGAGCTGTAGTGCCTCTGCCCACACAGACACAGCGGGATGGACTGGAAATCACCGGTCACGGTCTATTCCACAGGCACGCTAAACAAACAGAAAATAATAGCTGGGAGTTTTCATCTGCGCATGGGAGATTCAGTGTGGCCTGCTTTGGTTTCAGAGTGTTGGGAGAAATCTGTGTTTTGATTGCTCAGACTTTAGAGCAGCTGCTGTAAACATGACGTGTCTGAATGTTTCTTCTGGGCAAATGCTGGCAACAATGCAGCTCACAAATTCTGTTAAAGCAGATCATCCTCCATCTTCCTGGTCCCTCTTTTTAGGGCTAACTGACAAGTCATTAATCCTTGACAATTTAAGACAGCTATAGGTCTCTTTAATTTGCACCTAGCTTCTTCTAATCCAAACTGATTGTTCCAGAAGCCAAAAATAACTGCTGCACATATCCAGCTGTCCCTTTATTCTATTGGGGGTGGCCTAAATACCAGTGGGGACAACAGCATGATTTTCTGCTAAATACCCATGTCCCATCACATTCCTTCCCCATTGATATGATTTTCTTGAGGTCCATCCCTGGTTTTGAAGTGTGACAGTGGAGAAGGCAAACCAAATCACAGCAGAAGGGAAAATCAAAACTAAAAGGACACAAAGTTGGTGCCAAACTCAGCTATTTACTTAAAGCTTTGCCAAGGAGGGAAACACAAAGATGATAATGATGGTAACATTGCAACCCAGAGGGTAGGGTTTTATGCCATTTCTGGAAGGTCAGCTGTGCTGTAGTTTCCAAGCAAAGACAATGTTTCACAGCAAAGATGAGCAGATGCAAACATACACCGGCAGTGACCCACTTTACAAAACAAAATTTTAATTTGCACGTCTTTTACAAGTTCCCAGCATCCAGTCTGAAAGCATGTGCCTGTAGACATTATGACTTAATCACAGCCTAATTAAAGATGAGTAGTTTCAGTCCTTTGGCCATCTCAAGACTGTAGAACTGTCCTCCCAGTTTACTGCATCCAAAATCCCCTTTTAATTTCAAAACCTATTATGTGAATGCAGGAAGCATGATGACTAAAACAATGAGCTCTGAACACAGGACTTTGCCACCCAAAAGGCATTTCCCTCCGACCTCTAAAAAATAAAAGTCTCCCCAATTCTTTCCTGCCAAGGCAATGTCTACATTAGCAAATTGTGCAATGTGGGTGGAGCGAATCCAACTTTGCAGACTGCAATCTGAGGTTGCAGTATTGATCCAACATTGACACTCAATGTGTTTCAGCTTTTTTCCAGTCACCCGACAGCCAAGACTGGACTAACAGCCCAGTAGTGGCTGGAGCATACTTAGTGCAGTCCTGAAGCATACTGTTTGATGAAACCAAATGTTGGGTTGACTTTCATTATAAAGGAAGGGGTTTCTTTAGTGATCTTCCTTTTTTTTAGGGAGACCTCATCCACCTATGTCAAAGACCTCTCTGTGATGCAAACAAAAGCACAGTAAATGAGCATAATCAGGAGAATCATTTCAAAACTATAATTCTGATCTAACTCCATCGTTAATGGCAACACATTCTGATTGAGCCATCATCTGCCTGGCCTTAGCTAACCAGAGGTAAGTTTTAAGGATGATGTCAAAAGAGGGGCAGCTTCTGATGCACTCAAGTCTGTAAAGGCTGATGAGACCCCATGAGGACCAGCACTCTCTGCTGGCATAAGAATCTTTTTCACCATGGGCACACTCCATCCTTAATTGTAAGGGACATAGATTTTTCATTCACTTCTCAGAAGGATGTGGGGAAGATTGAACCATTTGGAGAAATGCTACTGACATAAGTTTTGCCAGGCAACAGCAACAGATCCAGTCATTGACTATAACCTTTTTTAGGCTGGAGTTCAGCCTTGATGAAATTAAATCTTTTTTAAAAAAATCTAAAGACAAAGCCTAAGAAAAATATGATTTTCTGTTATTCTGTGGCTATCCTGAATTACAGGCTTGAAATATAGTCATGGGTGTGGAATTGTATTTGAGCCATTGGCTATTGAAGTCTGATGTTCCCTCACACTTTTATTTATGTATTTGTAACCCAGTTAGGGAAGTGGCACACAAAAAAAGAAACCTTTCAAAGGCTTCATGTCAAGCTATATGAACAGAAAATACTTAATGTTATTTGAAGTCTAGTATGTTTTATTGCACATTAAGTGAGTACTGTGGGAAGGGCAAAAACATGAAACAAACCAGCACATATGGCTTCTATAATTTTTTTTTATCCCTAAGTAGTAGCTTTGCTAGTGCTGTATGGAAGTTTCATAACAGGCTCAACATCCTATAAATAAAGCAGACCTTCAGCCTCTGGGGGTTTTACTGTGTCACTGATGTTTTCACTCCCACAAACTATCACACTGAACAAATAAAAGTTATAGCCCTTTGAGGGAACTGGAAAGCGAGCTGGGATCCCCTTCTGATTTTAGGAGAAAGACCACTTGAGCATTCCAGAGGCCAGACATCCTCCAAAAAAACCTGACATGGAAATTCCTTCTGTTTTCTGACAACTAGGAACAGTTGAAAGAAGTATGATGAGCGCTCACTCCTAGAGAGGCTTCCAAGTAATTGAATTAAATCCTGAACGCAAATTTTCATATGTTCATTAATAAACTTGGCATGGAAAGGAATTCAGCTGCTGCTGCACTGTAAGATGTTACACTATGTGTCTTCCAGGAAAGCTGTAGTTGATTTCCAATATATTCAGCTAGAATTACCTTCTATAAAAGTTGTGCTATCCTACCTGTTTAAAATGTCACATATAGTCAAATATGATGCCTGTCTATGGACCAGCACTAAAGGTGTGAGTAATTGATTGTGAGTTAGGGTTGGCTATGGCCCTCATATATTACTAATTTATTGAATTATATACCTATATACATGATGATCATGACTTTAGAGATCATTAAAATAACTCATCTGTAAAACAAGAGATACCCCTTCACTGTAGAAGAATTCTGAACCTATCGAAAAAGGTAAGAGCTTTCCAGTTTCTCATGATGGATTGTCAGACACGGGATAAAATGTTAAAAGAGAAAAGCATAAAATCAAATTCCAGCACTTCTGCTAAGTAACAGCTTATTTGGTTGGTAAGAAAAAGGCTGAAGTGACTGCAACATAAGCGATAAAAAGTCTGCCAAGAAAACAAATCATGATAGGGACAGTGGATTATTTAATCTGAAGTGAGTGACTTGTTCTCCTATAACTTGGATGGAAAAGAATATAATACAGTTTAAAAATATAATAACTCTTTCTTTTAAAGTAAAAAATAATTAAAGACTAATTAAAAGGACACACTTTTCTCATTGGCCCATGATAGTTTTGGTAATTGGAATTATATAGTTATCATAGTATTGAATGCAAGCATATTTGCTTCTATCTAACTGCTAAGATCATATGCTGCATAACATAACTCCTGATTTGAAAGTTATGTAACAAAACCTTCTTATCACTCTCATATGCCAAAAAATATCTAGGAACTTCAGGTTATGTTTCATTTTGTCAGCATAATACACAAGTATTCCAAGGCTTATTCACCAAAAATAAGTGCACTTAAAAGGCACTTAAAAGCTTTTCCAGTTTCTATAAGTTGCCTTTGTACAGTAGGTGAAGACTTATCAAATGCAATCTTTAAATTGGTTAAAGATGATCAAGGTGTAGATCATGGCAAACCACTTTTGGTAACTGAATGCTACTTACATTCTTTTATAGTGTGCTAAAAGTCTTTTAATGATGTAATCTTAGAGCAGTTTCATTTTATATGCTGAGGTTTTTGAAATGATGCATTCTCTGCAGAGTTATGACAAAGAACTGATGACAAATTCTTTTGTCATAGCAGTAACTTTTATCTAAGAAAGACATCAGAACAAAGCACAAGGCCTGAGAAGAGCCTGAGTAGCGCACCTCAGCTCTCTGAAACCTGACTTCACAGTTTCGGATCTGTAAACAAATTTTCAGCCACCTCCTGTAGGAAAAGTATCACTTCTCAACATGTCATAAGTAGAACTGAAGAGTTGAAATATGACAAAAGGCCGGAATTGGATTGTTGAATAATAATGTGTGTGAAGAATAACATGTGTTGAGAGATTCAGTAGAGAATTATTTATCTGAGGGAACTGCGAATGTACACCTAAAGCTTACAGAGTTCCTGTTTAAAACATTGTCTGATATTTTTTGCAGTTATCCTCTTTCCTTCCATCTAAAGGTCATCACATCATTTCTGTTGTTCCTTTTAAGTTCAGAGTTTTTAACGCTCACCCAACAGTTCTAACTACACCATCAAATACAGAATCACAGAATCATAAAAGTTGGAAGAGACTTTCAAAATCACCTAGTCCAACCATCAAACCAGCATCACCATAATCATGCCTAAACCATGGCCTCAAGTGCCACATCCAGACACCTCTTGAACACTTCCAGAGACTGTGACTCCGCCACCTCCCTGAGCAACTTATTCCAATGCCTAACTAGTGTTTCAGAGTGGGTTTTTTTTTACTAATATCCAATCTGAACCTCTGCTGGTGCAAATTAAAGCCTTTCCTCAAATACCCACCATGATGAGTTATTATTGCATTCCTGTGTAATCCGATATGGTTTAGGTACTTTGAGAAGAGATTAGAGGTGGCACACAGAAAGGACATATAGGCTCCATCATTGTCTCCCTGCAGTCCTCCTCAATAGCATCATCCACCAAGGGGACTTCAAAAAGTGCAATGATTATTTTTTGCACATCTTTTCCACAGAAAATATGTTGTTTTCTCTCAGCTCAGAGGAATTGCTCTCCAGACACCTCATTACAACAAAGCAGGGAACCTTTTTGTCACTCAGGGATGCTGACTCCATCGCAGACACAGAAAAAGGGGTTTGTCCTAAGAAACTCTTCTCACATATTACAAAAACTTTTAAAAGAGGCATATCAAAGGAAAAGAACATAAGACAGCTGTAAAGAATAATTCTGCAGCTGTTGATCTCAGTTCCCAGCTCTCTACCATTCCCACTACTTCCCAACAGCTGCTGCATAGACCTTATGGCAGATTTCCAAAATCTGAAGCTGCTCTGCCCTATGAGAAAATCACAGTTTCATTCCTATTCCCAGTTTCAGAAGAAAACAGCAGTATGGTCCGGGGGATTTAACCCACAGTCTCCTAAATCCTGAGAAATCTTTCTAAAATCACTTGGAATTTGCCACAGAGGAGGCTGTACGCTAAGTTCAGTGCAACTGCAGTGGCGTAACCCAGAGCAGTGAGGACACGAGGCAATAGTGCAGCTAAAATTGATCAGTTGCAGCGTAAATATTGCACTTCCCATATTCTGAAAGATGGCAGCCCTTCAGACTACTCAAGTTGGAGGCAAAATCTGAATACTGGTCAGCAGCAATGAACAGGGAGTGGAGGACCATTGGAATTCTCTTAGCTGAGCAGTTCCTGCAGGCATCCCAGCTTAATGTACCTCTAGTTCATTAGTACTGGGACAAGAGCAGTAGCAGTCTCATTAGTGATGAGTGATTTAACACTTGCTTTTCCTGGTACTTTGAATAGTTATGTCATCCATTTAACTATCAGCAGTATCAGTCATCAGGGGAAGAGATAACTATCTAAATGCATAAATTATGAGTGCTTGGAAAAAGTTGTGCTTCTCCTAAGTGTCCCAGTGTCTTATTCTCAGAGACCTGTGTTTGAGTCCTCTCTCTGTCATAACAACGCTGAATATCTCATCTTTGGATAGTTTATTTACTCTTTAATCTCCCAAGTATAAAGAGATCAAGATGTTTGTGTTTAATGTAAATGACAACTAGGACTAGATATTCATTGTAATAAAACCTCTGGCCCCTTTACATGATGAGTCTTGGGCCTCTGACAAGGTGAAGAAGCTAATTTTAAAAATATATATGGACTCATTCCCTGGAAATTTGAAATATCTGGTGTCATCTCCAGCAATCTTAGATCGTACCAAGAAGTATTTTTGAAATAAAAAACAAGATAATACCTGGCTGCCTGTTGTAAGGTCTGATTAATTCATATTCTGTTCCCCCCATGCTCTGTTATCCCTTGTACTAAGGGTCTCCTCAGATCCACATAACCACTTACATGGGGTAAATAAAGGGGAATGAGAGCATAGGGAGTGAGTGGAATTTGTTTTGTGGACTTGAGGAGAATAATCTGCCAGTAGCAAATTACGCTGAGATAAAACACCAGGAAATTTCAAGTAATGAAGTGACCAAGTCCAAAATGCCTGGAAAATAAAATGCTGTTGGACACTAGCACATAGAAAAGTGGCAAGAATAGTCAGTGTAAAATTAAACCAATCAACCAATAATCCCCCTAAACATGCAAACAAAGGCAACATTTCTCCCCTAACAAACTGTGCCAGTTTCTAATGTCACGGTTCGTTTTAACCTCTCAAATTTACAGAATAACATACCCTATCAATCAAACTTGAAATCACAAGCTTGTTAAGTAGTAACACACAGCTCAGAGGTAAAATTCTTCAGAATAGGATTTTATTCATATCTATTAAAGCTTTTCTTATTTCATATTGCAGGTTGTGCTCTGTTACTGTGTGAAAAGAAGGATGCACTATCCCCACACCAAAATGCAAATGCTCTGGAATAACACAGAGTCCTAAGTATGCCAGCACAGGAAAATGTAGAAACTGGAAGGCCTTTGGAGAAAATGAAGAAAGCTGTATTGCAAAGAAAAATATTCTGAACACAAAAATTATTGTGATGGGATTCTTTTGCTTATAGCAATGAGAGCACTTTTTTGCCAAGGCAACGATCCTAAATGTTCTGGGCCCCTCGGGGAACTGCTTTATATGGAGTACTGCTAGCTTGCTCCAATAGACAAGGCATGCAGGCTGTCACAGTCACGGATATGAAATTTATCTTTCTATAAATGAATTACAGGCTTAGGAAGCCAGCAAGCATCCAAGCATCAGAAAACAAAACTGGAATATAGATCACCTAAATTTTAATTGACTACTTTGCACAGTGACCTGCCATTTTATTTCAGACTAAGTTCTTACACCATCCCAATCCCTGTGGCATTGGCATAGGACTCACAGGGCAGCTGAGCTGCTCAGAACCCAGAACTTTCACAAATCTGAAATAAATCTTCTGAAACAGCCCTAGCAATTGAGCAATTTGGAAAGCTATTACTGTTGTGCCCCTGTGACCTGTAGAGCTGAAGCCTGAATGAGAGGAAGGTCTTAGGTAGCTGTTTCTAGTAGTATTTATTAAAACTGAGAATTTGCAATTCTTGGGAATTCTACCGTTAAAAAATGGATGATAACCAAAAGCCAAAATACTGTTTTATACTTTTTCAATTAGCAAATTTCAGTTAAGAAATGTAAAATCTCAGAATTTTTTCTTGAAACTAACTTGTCCCTTCTCGTTTCCTTGGTACCTTAGACGTAACTTGTAATCCCATTCTTCTCAGCAGCCTGAACTTTCCAGGTAGGTTGCTTGTGCCATTGCCCATGGCCCCAAGTGCACTGTTATCAGTTCAATGATGGGGGAGACTCCCTGTCTCAGAGTTATTTGAACTAAGAAAAGAAAAGGATTTCAAACTAAGCTGCTTCAATTCAAGTCATCCACCCTTGTAATCTCCTAATGAAATAATGAAATTTTTTTGGCCTAGATATCTTCTATTAAGAAAACGTGTACAATGTTACTACCCTGACCTACACTGAGAAAGAAATGCACTTCTAGATAGGTGTTTCATTATTGGATTTTAACAGGAAAGTAAATCTGATATTTTTCACCTTTTTTCAAAAAGATATCCAAAGGAATGATAGTTTATACTAAGTGATGAAAATCCAATAATTTAAATGTTATCTTTGGACAATAAATCTTTTGTTAAACATTAGTGATTTAGAACAACTCTGACATAGTTCATATTCATATCCATTGCCTATTAATTTTTCTGTTTCCATCCTTCTGTCACATATATTACCCAGTGCAGCTGCCAAGTTCAGCTTATAGTGTGCTCAACTTTCACGAATTTTTCCTTTAATGTTCATGCTGAATTTATAAAGTAGTTTCTAATGAAAATTCCCCATAAGAGAAAAACTTACAAGATATTTTTATGGAGCAGTCATAAGTTTTACAACATAAACTGGGAAGCAGTAGCTGTGAAGTCATTGCCATACCCATAGCATATTAATCATGTGTCCACAATATGCATAAGCTGGAAAAAAGTAGGATTTAAAAAAAAAAAAACTAAAGGAGGTTTTCCCCTTCTCAAGTAACAACACAAATAAGAATAAAATTCTCAGTTTTGAAGACTATCATTGATACCAACTCTTTGTAAAGATAACAGCAATGGAATATTACTGAAATAATTGATTCATTGTTTGTTGACTCTTTTAGTATGTAAACACAAATAGAAAGAAACCATAATACAACGATGGAACTAATAGCAATTTCCACCATGCTTGGAAATCCCCTTCCAAACATATAATAAAGGCACAAAGAGCACTGCCATTAGATCCTTCAGCTAAAAGTCTTTACCTTGAATGTAATAGTTGAGAGGTAGCACAGCATAGGAGAAAATACAGTCTCACGAAAATAAGTTATGGGCCAGCTAGAGATTTATATATTTAAAGCAACACTTCTGAATCCTGAAACTAGCTGTTGCAATAATCCTCGACTAGTTGTTGCAAAAAAAGAAAGCACTAATACACTGGCTTACAGTAAAATATTCTGATTAATGAAGCCATCCATCTTGTACCAGTCTCAGTCTGTCAGTTGGTTGGAAACCCAGTCACACTGGGTTTTGCTGTAGTCTAGTGCTGAGGTGCACTGGCAATGTGTAGATATTTGCTGGAGGGGATTGCTATCACCATTTGATCTGTCCCCAGTTTGACTGAGTATATAAACCAGCAGATAGGAGAGCAGAAAGATAGATCTCACTTGAGAGGACTCCTGAAGGAGCAGGGCAGAAGAAGGAGGGAGCGGGGTAGACTCTTTCCAGGGCAAGAAACTGGAGGACAGTTATGCTGTGTTTGACAGTAGTTTTGTAAGGAGAGTGCTATTCCAGAGAAACACAGGATCTAGGTGTACCTGTAGTACTTTTCCCAGTGCTCCAAGTTTGTGGAAAACAAGAAGAGAGGGATGTAATTTGCAGAGATAGAGGTTCAGCTTAGACTCATAGAATATCTTGAGTTGAAAGGGACCCATAAATATCACTGAGTCCAAGTCCCAAAACTTATCAAACCAGGGATGAAATGAAGAGATCTACTACTGATCTGAATATAGGTTGTATGACCTGGAAGGAGGGCTGACGGTGAAGTTTGTGCTGCAAAGGACCAGTACCACATCAGTAGCTGAACTCATGATGCTTTTCCTGGAAATTAATTACAGCAGAACTGAGAGGGTACCCTTCAATTTAATTTTTTCTGTGAGTGGGTAGGAGACCAGTAAACCAGAACTGAAGGTCAGATTTGGGAGGGCTAGCACGAAACCTTGTCTGCACACTCAGACTCAGCAACCGTACATGATGCACTTAAGCAGTAGGTACACCTTTTTTGGCAAAAAATGTATTTGAGATAAACTGAGCAACAGAAGTTCTCACCATGCTCAAATTGCTGAAAAACTGCCAAAAAGTAATAGTAAATTCACTAGAGTATTAGTCGGACCAGTAACATTTCATTTTATGAAGTTAAAAATGTCAACAAACATTTGCACGAATATTTGAAGCCCATTTGTGAGCCCTTTTGAATGTCTGCATAGACGAGCAAGTACCTGCTGTCATGTATGAGACAGCAAGGAGCTGATGAGCAGTGCTGCTGCCTTCTGAAGTGAGACCTGAAGGGATCTTACCTGCAAAGGGCTATTGGTGGACTGGTTTATTCTTTTTCTGTGGTGGGCAGAGTACATAAAACACCATAGGCTCATGGGTCAGCAGGCTGGGCTGCATCCTGGAACAGGAGAGGAGGAAACAGGCTGTGCCAGGAAAAAGGGTGGTGGTGCAAACTGTTTCCCCTTTGCAACAAGGAGGACGACTGACATCATGAGTCAGAGTTCCCAGGGCAGTTTATCTGCGCTTCTCCTCTACATTTGTTGAATTGCTTGGTGGAAAGCCAATGTTCTGGGTTTGTTTTAGAGAGAAACAGTTAAATACTTTTGTTTAAAGTATCTCTAGCTTTCCTTTGGTTTAGGGTGCTAAAGCTTCTTCATTTTTTTATACAAGGATTGGAGTGGTTCCCCATGAGATTCAACAATACCAGCGTTTGAACGGTGCTCTTCCATTTAGCACTGTGTTACAACAAAGTGTAACTGTTATATTAGTCAACTTTCCAATTTGCTTGACAACGAAAAAACCCTGCCAGAACTCAGCCTCTATACTTCTTTCCTTGCTGTTATCTGACTGCAGAGAACCTTCTGTTTTGTAATTATGAAATTAATTAATTTATTAAATGTCCTGGAACTGAAAACTTCTCACATTTTATGGCTGGCGTTGTTTCTCACTGCATTAATAGTAATAATAGTCAGTGTGAAAGTAACCCAAGGCATCCTCGGGCTTTACTATAATGAATATGCCTATTACGGAGACATGTACTATACATGTACTATCTTTGTGTGTATGCAGTGTTTGGTGTATTTTGCCTCTATAATCAGAATTATATTCTAGATATAAATGAAGCCTAACTGCATGTCATGTAGCTCTTAGGCTGCTAGCTTCACTTAAGCAGTATATTATAATATCTTAAGAGATTTGCATAAGTAGTGGAGCGTACTGTAGAGAAGCTTAGAAACGCTTTCTGGTAGGAATGGAGTAGAAGCAAATAAATGGTCTGCAAGGAATATACAGCCAAATTGATTCTGGGTAGAGTGGATGGTGAGATGACACCAGATAAAAATACAATCTACCAATGACTCAGCTTCTACTTGAGCAGCTTCCTAACTATCCAGAATGCTATCGGTCCAAAAACCACGAGCTATCACATATGTATTAGCAAAAACACATAGTGAGTCTCAAGGTTAGAGCAGAGGACAGAAGAACCCAGGCATCTGTTTCTGGCTTAGCTACAGATTTGCTGTGGAAGTCCAACTAAATGTAACTCTTTATGTTCCCTTAACTCAGTTTGCAAACTAGAGAAAGAAAAAATATCTAGTTATGTTGTAAAATAAGTCTTGTCTTTAAGGAGTTAAAGGAGAAGCTAATATGTCAAAGTTGGTCCTAAATCACTAACTCTTTTTGCTGTAGCTACTAGTAAATTCCTCCTAGTAAGAAATGCCAAAACGAATTTAAAGTTCAGTCTCTCCTGGAAGTCTCTTGCTTTTGAGAAGGAGGGGAAAGGAAAGGCACCAGCCACATAAAGGCGTTCACTGTAGAACTGCAAATGAGCCTGCACAGTGTTTTATCCTTCACCAGTCCTCTTTGTCTCCTTCTCTTCTGACTGCATTCTTGGAACATCTTGTACATGAATTTATAAGACTATTTGTTTTATTGCCACATTTTTAACTGCACAGACCACATTGCAGCCTGAGAAATACATTTGAAAGGAATGGCAAACTGTGTTATTTCTGGTTAACAGTTCTAGCTAAAACAAAAAACTATGTGTTTTGCTCACATTAGATTTTAAAAAAATATACTTTGGCAGAATCAGGACATGAAAGGTAACTGAAAAGTTGAACTGTGTAAACACTGAAATGCTATCAGGCAAAGTTTAACTAGAAAAATGGGATGCAGTATCAACTATAAGTACTCATGAG